ACTGCCCCTAACCTTTAAGGGTTTCCACAATATTTCTCAAGTGTAGGAGTTCTAAAAGCCTTGCTACAGTACAAAAGTAACCTTTACCTCTGGAAATACTCCAGGTTCTTGGGCAGGATGTGAATGAGAATCCATCAGCAATATTGAATATATCCCTCCCAGTGTTAAAGAGTTTTGTAGGCTTTCTTTCAAAATAATGCAGAAACATTCTATTGTTGTACTTAAATCTTGTACCAATTATTATAATAACTTTTAAAGTATTCATCTTCCACGTGAGAATATAAAAGAAAAAGAAATAACAAGCATAGAGCTTGTTATTAGCTGTGGTAAACCCGTGCCAAAAGAGAACCTGAACTGTCAGTTTGGAGGATGCTGAACATTCATTACTTTGTTGGAAATAGCTGGTGTTTTAATGCTGCCAGTCTGCTCTATTTAGAAAGTTATTCAGCTCATAAATCAAGGACAGATTTTTATTTAGGAGAGTGATAAAAAGTCCATCACTCACCATGAAGTCACTTTTTTTCGAGTCACCATCTGGTCCCAGAGAGGTTGTCTTTTTCAGTACAGATACTAGTACAAACAATAAAAGGGACCAATAACTAATTAGAAAATTTTTATAAATATGTTTTTTTCGAACTATTTTGTAAGTTACTAAAGTATATGAATTAGGATGGATTGCCAGGTTCTGTTGATAGTAAGATGCTATCTGATTCGCTGTTTTTTTTTTTTTTTTTTTCCAAAAAGCTTTTGTGTCATTATTCTCCAATTTTGGCTCAAGATGCTGATGATTTCCTGAGAACAGTTGATTTCCTGCATTTCTGCAATTCAAGGAGATAGAGAGCTTCATGAAAAGTGAGTTTATAATTGGCTGTCAGTGATGTAATACACAGGAAAGGCCAAATCTGTAGTTGCTTGGCACCTGACTCTTCCATTACATCAATACATTTCATCCAAGGATAGTACCCAACCTCATGGATTTCTTCATTTATAACTTCTGCTCGTATTATATTGTACTTTAGGAGCACTCGCCTCCATGTAAAACAGTATTTTATGCATTAATTAATTTACAAATTAGAAGTAAGAAGTACTTAGAAATAACATTTTAAAGAATATGAAGTAAATAGAGAAAAGCATTTACTGTAAGATTCGGGATGCACAATAAACTTGGGTTATTTTTGTTCACTGATGTTCTCATCAATAGCATTTATGGAGCTCCTGTGTCTGGTGCAGAATTTAAGGTGTATATAAGGACAGACTCAGGAGAAATTGTTCTGCACTGATCATAGCCAAGTAAATTTTGGCCCCAACAGTGGATTTTTTTTTTTTTTTTTTTTAGCGAAAGTAGGGGCTAAAGTGAGGTTTAGTTTCTTGAGTTTTGCTGAACAAGAGCAGGGCCAGAATTTTTTTTTTAGTGCCAAGTCAAAACCACCCATTGATGATTATGCTGTCGTGCAAAAATGAAGTTACCGCTGCTGGAACCAAATCAGAAAATAAAAGCAATTTTCGACGCCCCTCTCTGCTGCTTGTTACTATTTCAACAGAGCATATTCTACTTCAGAGTGGAGTTTTGGATATATGTAAGTCTGATTTCACACTCTTTATGAGAAAAAAGAGATCTGGGAGTCTAGAAGTGTCCTGTCTGATTTTAAACTGCAGTCAGGCTCATAAGTCGTTTCTTTTCCCTCCAGCGTGCTGTAGGGGGCATATGATTGCATATTATCATGTGTCATTTGCCTCGTCTTTAGCCTTTAAATCAACTTGCCTTTAAATAAACACATCAAGAGTTTACGCCCTCAAAGTTGCAAATGTACAAGATGGAGTTGATGGCTCTCAATATGCAAAAACACACATCTGTAAACTTGCAGTACTATTTTCTCTGTAAAGCAGAGAAGCTGCAAAGCAGATAGTCTCATACTAAATATAGTGTGATGTTTCACAGTTGGCAGGATTTTCCTTAGGGAAGATTTCTATCAGAGGCAAAGAGTGTCAGAAAGCATGAGCCTGAAAAGTCATTTCTGCTCCCTGCATGCCCCTGTTGTAGTTTGGCAGACAAATACAATGCAACGCGATTTGGTTTGCAATTTTTCAGAGTCTGTATTCATGAAGAACTTACCACATGACTAAGTACAAATTAATCTATAACCAAAAATGGTTAACATTCACATGTTTAGAAGACCAATACATTTGTTCTGCAAACTATGATTCCAATGCAATAAGGGATTGAAAATATGTCACATACTTAATTTAACCATGGAAATGTTTTTGTTAAGCTCAGAGAGAGTGTCCATGTGCTTAAACTTAAAACCTTTACCTTAGTTTCTTTTAAGTTGCCATAATGGTAAGAACAACATCATCTCTAATAGTCACCAGCACTAAAATTAAGCTATTCGTAACATTCAGACATCTGCTGAGACTTCAGACTCAGGTCTGAAAAGGTCTGTATATCCTATAGTAAAATAATAAAACTAACAATTACAGCATCATTGTTCATTAAAATAACATCAAAAAAAAAAAAGGCTTTGAAAATCTTACTGACAAGAACTCTTTATCTAAACAAAAACACAGTGCTCAAGTCCCCAGCTCTTAACCCCAGGAAGCTTTAAGAAGAATCTAGGCTTATGCTACGTGCAATGTTACTGGCGAACAGAAGCGTTTTTTTTACGCTTCATAATGCTTTTTTACGTAGAACAAGCAATACCTGTTGATATAATATGAACTATTTCCAACTGATCATTGCCTTTATAGATGTTCAGATTTCTAGAATCTATCTATAAAGCATGCAAGGTAAAACCTATGCAAATCCAAAAAGAAGGGAGATACCCTAAGCTGAAATAGAGCCTAAACTGACTTGCACAGTATGGTCTAGCTAATCAGTGCTTCAGTTATTAAATGAAGAAATACTTTTTAAGGAGGCTATTTGCAGCCCAGCAGCACCTGCTAATGACATGCTGGGCCTGAGTTAGTATGAATGCACAGAAAAAAAGATAAACAATCTATAAGCTCATAAATGATCTCATTTCCTAATAGCTAGGCTCTTCTGCCCCAGTACAGGACAGCTGGCCCTGATGCTGCTTTCTTTGTGACCTTGCTTTGTGACTGTTGTCTTAGACACAGTGATTCGTATAAGAATAAACAAAACCCCTGAATGGAGTATAGCATATGCTTTCATCCTCTCCATCAGAGGAGGAAAATATAGATGTATTCATTGCCATTAACAGCAATTTCCTGCACTGTTAAGTTATACTCCAAGGGAGTAACGTGGAACATGCTTGTTAGTATCGACAAAACCTGAACATTTCCATCACCCATTTTCTCAGAGATTCTTCTGTCTTGGGCTGCAATCTGTCCATCCATTTCCTTCTCATTTCTCCCTTCATTCTTGCTCTCTTTGCTTTTATTTTTTCTGCTGCTTCTTCCTTTTATTTGTCTCCCTTGCCTAGAATACCTCTCCCCTCCTGCCCGTCCCCTGCTCTCAGCTTCAGTCTGGCAAATTCAGCTTGCTCTACTTGCTAGAATAAGCAAGGCCTTGAAAGCCTTTCCGCAAATCCGAAATTAGCTCTAGTTCCTACTTCCTTAGACTGTTCCACAGAACAGGGTCCAATAGTGACCTAAGGAGAGAGCAACTGCTCAAAGCACGGGAGCCATCAATTGCTCTAGAACCTCCACTTGTGTTTCCTGTAGTTCTTCAGTACTCTTCTTCCCCACATTTCTGCAAGGCACTGCCTGCCTGCTGTGACATTTGCCTTTGGAGCAACAGTCAGTGGGAAAAGATTCTTACTGTGGTCAGGGCAGTTAAGACTTATTAGTGTACTTGGGTCCTGACAACTATATGGACAAATATTGTTTGTACTACTCTAAAAAGCATTACAAAGCACAAAAAAAAAGCTTTTGCTTGACAATAATACTGCAACTAGACAAGACTAGATTCTTCTTAAAGCATCCTAGGGTTAAGAGCTGGGGACCTGTACACTGTGCTTTTGTTGAGATGAAAAGAGTTCTTGTGACAGGATTTCAAAGGGGTTCGTGTCCCAAAACCACAAGGCTTTATTTGTTTGTGCCATTATTTTAGTATGACCTGGAGTCTGAAGTCTGAGCAGACATTGGAGTACCACATTTGAAAAATGTAACATTTGAAAGTATTTGAAAAATGTCACATTAAACATTATAATATTTATGTAACATTAAACACAGGTCATTATAGCAAATATAAAAATGTAACATTAAGTATGTGGGAAAAAATGATGTTGAAATATTGGTTCTCTGATGTTTGTTTCTACATGCAGCAAAATCAGATGATGCTATGAATTGTAAACATAAAAATCAGATTGTAAGAGTAATTTCTCTAAGGCAAATATGGCAAATAATGCCCATTTTGGAATATGGGCATTTAATGCCCTACAAAACGCCCATTTCCTGTAGGCTCTGATCCTAACAAAGTAAAAAAATGGCTATTTAAATATCATCTGATAAATTATGTCAGATATCAGATAATGCTAAGTATCATACTGAGTAAGAGAATGTAGGGATCCTTCTCATAGTTTTTGGAGATTTTTTGCAGAGACTTTATATTTATTTAAGTTTTATAAACAAGTTTTCCTCGTGCTTTTCCTAATTACAACTCAGGCAGGTAAAATGAATTGTGTTTGGCCATGGTAACTGGAAAGACAACTACCTGTTTGGTCTGTCTAGTTTCAAGGTATCTATTTCACTTTTTGCTCTCATGTATGCATTGTCAATCACATTCTTTAATTTTTTTTTAGTTTTTAATTTAGTTCATGTTCAAAATATGAGAAGTGTAGGTAGCAGTGAAATCTCTTCAAGAAATTGATCATTATTCTCAGCTTTCATCCTAGAGATACGCTGACTTTCTGTAGTATTATCAACAATTTGAACTGAGAAAGAAACTATTGCTGATGAGCCTTCTTTCCCAGAAAGCTTAAATTAAATTCAGTTGGAGAATAACTTAATTTTCTTTAACCATTCAAACTTACTATCTTGTGTTCTTAAGATGGTGAAAATAGATTCCACTACTCCTGATATCCCTTCCCCGTATTCCCTCTTCTAGAATGTGAAAAGACCAATTACAGTCCTAATTCTCAATAAAGATGTAATTGACATCCTGGAATTTTTGAAAGTCACAATTCATCTTTCTTCTTCAGGATGATTTTCCTCACAAGTTCTGTAACATAAGGTCTTATTTCTTCAACAGAGACTGTAGAATCCCAGGCCTTTACTACTTTCCCATTAGGATCCACCAGGTATTTCCAGAAGTTCCAGGTTGGTTCTTCTCCTGTGGAATCTATGGGGGAAAAAAACAAACTTAGAAAAGAAAACCATGCTAGCCAATTTCTGACATTTGCTCATATCAATTTGATGATTACTGTCTGAGAGGAGGAATGAATATAAATCAAGAGAGCACTCAGAATTAATATTAAGATGAATTTTCTGACAGACATGTAGATTTAGCTAGACAGGAGTCCCCTGGAGACTAGTGAAAAACAGTCGAACTTGTCACAGGCAGACAGGAGGAACTACTATACTAGGTGTGTGTATATGCATATATGTGTACTATATATATAGTATGAAATAGTTCTACACTTAGAGAAAAATGGAATATGGGTTAAAAAAAATAGCTGTACCAGAACTGATCAATAGTTTGCTTACCAGGATTTTGTCTCCAAAAGTACCCAGTATCACATGCTTCAGAGTAATGTTTCAAGAAAAGCTATGCAAGAAATAGCAATATAAATTGATCCAGGAGGAATTATCTGCCACTGTTTTCACTCTGCATATTAATTTCACCTCAGCTGTACTCTCATCCTTTACCATTCTACTAGCAACATTTTCAGGAAAGCATCTTCAATCTGACCAAGAGTTTCATCCTGCTAATGATACAAGTACAGACTCTACAAAATAGCATCTTTTTCCATTGATCCTATACTGGACAAAATTTCCTATGGAATCAGAGATATTGCCAAAGATACAGCTAGACATTCACCACTGACGATGTTGTCAATGTGCACTGCATCCAGCAGCCTCACTTTGCACGTGGACTGAGAGGGGAACACAAGGTTTGCAATTTTCATGTGACCTGCCAGCAGTAGCAAGACCACTGAGCAAAGTAGACATAGGAGGGCACGTCAAGGACCTGCGATAGACAGTGGCAGGAGTGCTTGGGTTAGCCAAAAATAATAGTAGCATCTACTACTGTGGGTGTCAGTCTCTGCGAGCCCTCATGCAGATTAGAAGCGGATGAACTGTATGGTATGGCTATTGCAATGCTTAGCAAGGAATGAGGGAAGGAGGATTCAAAGTCATCTCTTTCTGCCTCCTTTCACTTTTTGATTGTTCAGGTAAATTATGTAGGCACTTTGCTTCTGCTTACCCTATGGCTATTGAGAGGAATCTTATAAATTTGGCCTGTAGTGGTTGCATCAGAGGAGGAACACACAGGAGGAAAGATTGCAAAGCACAAAAAAGAATAACTTTTTTTTTTTAAATGCATACAGGCAGATATTTTTAGACCTGTATTCCATGTAAGTGTTTATTTAAAAAGTTTTTAGTGGGCACTGTTTGTTGGGGGTCTTCATCACTGACAATCTTTCCAAAACGTTAGGCAAACATTTCAAGAGAGACAGAAATCCTGCCTTGTGCAGAAACTAGGTGACTTCTGTGCCAAGATTCTGTGAGCACAGCCGTAAATACTCTTTTTACTTGCATAGTATCTTGTGTCAGAGGAATTCTGTCTTGGAGAAACAACCTCTGAGTATCCTCGATTACTCACCGATTAAATACTTGAAGGCAGGAATTGCACCAGCACCACTGACGGCAGTTTTGCTGAACATAGGAAAGGAGGCACCATAATTCTTCCGTGCAAAACTCTCTATTTCTTTATTACTGTCTGGTTCTTGCTGCCCAAACTGATTGCATGGGAACGCCAGCACATTGAAATGATACGGGCCGAGGTCTCTCTGTAACTGTTGCAAGGCCTTGTAGTGGCTATCAGTATATCCGCACTCGCTCGCAACGTTGACAACTAGAGACACCTATAAAACAAGAGAGACCTATAAAATATGCTCCACATTACAGTTTTCCAACAGATAGGCTTGAGTATTATTCTCAAAGAACAGGAATTTCTAGGGAAATGTGACCGAGCACTCATATGTGAAACTGTATAGGGTTCTGTTTGCTATAGGCAGATTTTTTTTATTGTATTCCCATATGGCAACCATGAATATAATACTAAATACCTTAGCAATTTTAATTCTCAGGTTACAGAGAAACTGGCATTTCTTCTGCTCTGCCTTTTAGATATTCTGTAAGGATATTTAAGAAATGACCATATAGTTGAGGTATATGGAGTAGTTTATCACAGCCTTGGAAATTAATGTATTTCTGGTTGCTGTTATCTGTTCTTCAGCATGTTCTTTCTTACAGAATTTAGCACTGATACAGACCTGCCTGGTGCATTTATCATTGCCTGTGTGGTTGCCTAAATCTGAAAGCAATTACAGAATTTTATGTCTGTGTGCAGTAGAGACTGTAAAACTTCACCCCATTTCTAGAGTGGACACATTAGTCAAACAGCAAGAAACTGCACGGCAAGAAAAGGAAATAATCCTGCCTCTAGGTCTTGTACTCATGTGTTTGTGACGACTGACCTTACTCAGTTTACATTCCGGATTCTGATATTACTGATTTTCTATATTCCTATGTGTATGTTTTTATACAAAATACAGAATTATGTAGGAAACATGAATAGAATACATTAAAAAAATGATAACATATCAAAAATAAGTGACTACATATGAGTAGTATTTTCAAGGCCAGAGAACGGTAATTTATTGCCATATAAAAGTTCATAGTCTGGGCATAGTGTGGGACAACAGAATGAACTCTCTAAAGAGTAGGAAGAAATAAAAAGAAAGGTAAGGGGATGCTGGTGCTTGTCATTTCTTATGTTAAATGTTAACATTTACTTTGTATATTTCGTATGTTGTATAGGTATGTGTCTATGTTTAAAGTGGTTTCTGAGCAGCATTATTTGTTTTCCCTAGAAAACAGGTAATTTTATAAAGGCAGAAGTTGATGGAATCTTCTTTGTGGTATATTGTGTCAACAGAATATAATCTAAGGAACCCCTGTACACCTGCACATGAAATATGATATAGAGCCATCTAGCTAACTTCCAAAGCATCACATTTATTCAGCCTATATTTACAAGCTCTATGTGAAATTTTAAGCCAATCTCCTAAAACATCCAAAGATTTGTCTTATAATTAGAATTTTTTTCAGACAAGAGATAGTAAGTAACTCCTGTTTCAGACTGTCATCATTTCAAGTAAAACTTATATGCTAGACACAAAAATAACCATTGCTAGTTTTGTTGTCTTCGGATAATCTGTGTTTTCCAAGTTTTAGTGACAACTGTAGTACAGAATGGTTAAAGATAACTGTAATATCTTTATTACAGTTGAAGAACTGAGAGTTGAAGAAACATGTTCTTTTTACTAAAATTCTTGACTGTTTTTTAAATATAGTTTAAGGCTAAGCATTCTCATGATGCAGAAGTGTTCATATACCTTAGTGGATTCACAACTACCGCTACTTTATCCCAAACAGAGTACTTAATTCAAGAATTAGAGGCTTGTGGGAAATAAGGTTGTGGAGGTACTATGTTCATATTATAACAGATAAAAGTAATTATCATAAACATGAGCTGCAAATGAAATCAATGAAGCTGATTTTACTTGATTTTGAATTGAGCAGGGCTTGAAAGAATTTTCTCAAGAGGTGGCTACTTTTTAACATCTGTTTAACACCAATTATTTCTCCAAATGGCGATGAAAGGTATGAGAGCTCACGTTGCAAATGGTGCAGACTTCCAAACAGTCTCCTAAAGGAAACTACGCACACCTTTTTTTTTTGAAAGGCAGATGCATGATGCTTCTCTCCTTTATTTTTATATATAAAAAAGAATTTTATTACTGAATTTCATAACTTAATATTGAAGACATCCTAAAAGCAGAAATAACATATCACAGAATCACAGAATGGTTAAGGTTGGAAGGGGCCTCTAGAGATCATCTAGTCCAACCCCTCTGCTCAAGCATCATAAATATTTTTCAGGGTTTATTAGTATTTCATAAGGAATGTTTAAAGTTAATGTTTAAAAATCTTTTAGTCATCCTTAAGTGTTTCTGTAGAGTATCACAAATGATGAAAGTGATTTATATTTTTGTTGTTTATATTTCATCTTTTATAAACAAAAGCCAATCTTTTAGTTCTCATAAAGAGGCTGTACTTGACTGTTTTAAATGATTAATGGTTTAAATTAGACTCAGTACTCCACTTGACTGACTTCTGTCTCACCTTAGCTCTGAGAGTACAAGTCAAGCACACCACCTAGTGTGCAGTGCAAACAGCTCATCCAGGATCATTCCAAAAACGGTTTTGTTAAAGCTTAGCTGTGTTTTAGCCTTTGTTTAATGCTATGGTCTCCTTCCCTTTTCTTAGGGGAAAAATAAAGCATTCTAATAGAGAAGTCATTTTTACATTGCATTGATTTATTTCATCTTTGCATAGGGTAAAGTTTAGCTTTCCCTGAGGAGAAGATCCCTGGGGAGTTTTATGAATTTATCAGGCTCAAGTAATGCTTCATGGACCTTTTGGCACAGACGGTAGGTACTTATGTTTTTAGACTTGGAGATTTTAAATGGCTCCATAGAACTGATGGGAGGACCATCCAGAGGGTCAGATTACTGAGAGAACTCTTGCCTTCATTGAAAAAAATATAGCAGTACGAGTAGCACAGTAATTAAGTATCTCTACTCTGTGTTTATCCACATTCAGTAATATTACATTCTTGAATTGTAGAGACTCGTGATACAAAAGGCCTAGAATTACTTCCAGCATTAAAATAAGACTTATTATAGTACCTTTGGTACAAGGTTTCCAAAGCTCTGTGCCAATGCTGCTTCATTAAGCCTCAGCCCACTGTACTTAGCTCTGTGGTAGGTAGGTAGGTTAAGTATGTACTGTTATATCTGGACAGGTATAAACACAGCAGGGAGCAACTGAAGCTTCGGAGTACTGACTTTCAAACAGATACTATTTTTGGTAAGAATTCTGCTTCTTAGAGCACATCCTATAGAGACCATAAAACAAAATACAATCTTTCTTGATATAGATAGCTGTTCTGATAAACCTCATCTTATTTGCCTCCTGATTTTTCTCTGTCACATCACCACCCTTGATATTTAATGTAGATGCATCAATATCAGTGGGGTAGCCTAGATAAAGTGTGGGAGCATGGTCTTCTCTTGGGACAGAATAAACCAGATGGCTTTCTGAGCTGTTTCACTTGTGGCGCTTTTTTTTTGTCCATTATAATAGTCCTTCCTTTCTCTGTTTTTAGACAGATTCAGTATACCTCGTTTTGTTGAATGCATGCCAAATTTGTAACATTCTGGCAATATTTCTAATGTCCTTATAAAAAACAGAGCTCTCCCTCACCTATTTTGAATTTCTTATTGGAGGATACATTATATCTGTGCATATTTCTTTTCAGCCAAAAAAAAACCCCAAAATCAGATCCTTAATTTTCTCATTTTTACTATTTCAGAGTTGTAAATAGTACATTTCTTACTTTATAGTACTTGTGATTTGCATCAAATTGCACTTGAATGGAAATTGAAATAATTTGCCTAATTTTTAGTACAGTAATCTGAGTGATCTGAATATAAAACATTCTATGTTAATCATGCGTTATTGAAGAAAAATTCTGCAGGCAGTGAATTGCAGTGATTCTACCGAGCTTGGCTCTTGTGTTTTTAGAATTAGCAGACAATTTTTTTCTATACGGTGGAAAGTTGTTGACTTCTTCAATTTCCAGGTAGTTTCTTGACTACAGATTGCATTAATTATTGCATATTTAATTGTGTAACTAGCTGAATGAATGAGTTTAAGAAAATATTTTCTCTGAATCTGCCAGAAAGCTTAAGGCTGTTAAAATCTGGTTTAGCAATTAGCAGACTATTGTTCCAGGTGTTGACTAGTGACTCACTCTCTTTAAAACATCAGCAGCACACATGCACTGCTATTTGCTTTAATTACCAAAAAATATTATGGTAGATTTACACCTTGACATTGGTTATCTAACTTCAAATAGGTGGGTTTATTTTAAGAAGTAAATGGGTATTTTACTGATCTGTCTCTACCTTGATAATGAACTCTAACCACATAATGACTTAAAGGGTCATTTTATTGGTATAATCTCATTTTAAATAATGCATATGCATTCTCAAAAAGTAGTTGAACTGAGCATAGCTGGGCTCTCAATGCAATCTTTTGGTTGAACAGCTTGGATAGAAGCTGGTCATCATTTTTTGGAATAAAAAATTCCCATGCTTCCCACAAAGTACCTGTGATCTTGGAAAAAGTCCCTTTGTCTGTTTACAGATGGATCACCCCCATCTCTGCCAGGACAGATGGAAGGAATTCCATAAGGGAATTCTGAGTTCCCCCTTTAGTCCTTGCCATGCCGATTCTGGCCCTGAGTTAGAGAAGCTACAGGTGGTGTTTGCTTATTTAGAAAGATTTGCAGATGACCTGCAAAGCATGCCTCAGCAAGAGGATTTATTGACAGAGCCTTTGGAAAGAACTCCTAAAAAAAAGTAAATATTGCTTAATATTAAATAGTTTTCATCATTTCTCAAAAATAGATATCTGAGTGTGCACTGGATCAATTCCCCTCTGCTCTGTTCTCTGGCTGCGCTGTGAACAGTGGCAGAGGAGGACATGTCCCAGGTGAGATCTAGGCCTCTCATTTGGTCCAAACTCACCACTGTCCCTCTCTGCGAAGCTCAGAAAAATGTACATTTCCTGTGGGCCTTCAGTTTCTTCCTGCAAATGTTTTAATCACGCACCACTTTGGATTCGTGAGTGCTGTCACCTCAGTGAAGTACCCAAAGGGGGGTTAAAAAGAAAGAAGGAAGCACAGAGCGGAGAGTAAGGGTGAAAGTGAGGAGTGGGGCCTTCCTTTTTGGGAAGCTGCTGGCCTGACCTGGCTGTAGCACATTAGATGTGTCACTTGAGCATTGAGGATGGAGGTGGTGGCAGTTATGCTTTGATTTTAGCCTTTGTAATTTGTGAATCTGGCTACAAGAGCTACAGATACTGTGCATTCCTGCCTGTGCTAATCTGCCTTCCTTCTCCCCCAGGTACTAACCATTTGCCTCAGATTGATTAAATCTGGTCAAAATGATTAAAAATCAAGTTACATTGAAGACAATTGTTCTCAAACTGAAAGTGGCATCTACCATTCCCTAATTTAATATGTAAGTAGAATTTAAAAGGTAAAAAAGCATATGCAGTGTCTATCTGTGCTTTTTCACATAGTCCTTCCTCATGCTAAATTTGACTCTTAAGTGGAATAGCATGGTGTTTCTGCAATTTCACTGTACACTGATATTGAAAAAGCACTTACCAATTCTCTCATTTATTTACTAATTATGATAAAATCTCTTAAATCCGTTAGCTACTGGCTAAATCCCATCTTTTTTGAAACCGAACTTCAAAAAGGAATGGGATTTAGGTAAAAAGAATTTACTAAAAATCATGCAGTTAAAAAGTGGAAATAAGTTCCAAAAATAAGTTGTGCAAAGGTACAAATTTCCTGTTTAACAGCCACAATCAACTGCAATTCATGCGGCTGAGTGGAAAGCAGACATTCCCTGCTTGCCACGTATACAAGGAGCAGCCGCGCAAGGAAGAGACACAGAGAGGTTAGTCTGCAAATGTTTTATTTAAAGAGTACAAGGATCTGTGGAATGGTATTAAAGGAAGCACACAGGCAACGCTCCAGATCAGTTAAAAAAGTCATAAAAACAAATCTATCTGCATGCATGCATCACGTTAATGTACAATCTCTCCGCCCCCCGCTTGCTTTTTGCAGACATGCAAGGACTGGCCGATTAGCGAGATCAGTGTGAGAGCTGCCCATCTCCGTGCACACTTACCGAGCCCCTGTATTTCTCCAGAGAGACTAGCTTTCCCCTGATGTTTACAACTTTGAAAGTGTAAAAATCAGTCTCTCTCTGCAGAGTAGCAGAAAAGGCTAAGAGCAGGAGTGCTGCTATTGCGAGGAGCATGGCTAGAGGGATGAGGAAAACTTTGGGGAAGGAAGAGGAAGCCTTGTGCTCCACACTGCCCTCAGGATCTAGCATGCTGCAAGACAGCGCTGCACAGACACTTGCCACAATAGTCAAGCGCTGCCGGAAAGAAAGGACTGCTGCAAACGGACCCTTTTGCAACAGTCTGTGTTTTGCAAAGATTATTAAATCCTGTGTTCGTGCAAGGCCCCAGGAGAATGTGTTTGCAAAGGATTCAAAATCTCTCCAGTGGTGTATTTCACTGTAGCAATGTACTAGAAAAGGTCATTTACAGATACGACGCAGGAATTGAAGGTCTTGTTCTTTCAGCTGAAGAGCAGCAGTAGTGTATGGGGGATGCTGGACCTAGAGAGCTGCTTTGACCATGTCCTGGGAAAATACGGCATAGAGTTATTGTGATTTTAATCAAATTGCAAGTAGGTATTTTTAATATACTAACTATAGCATATGGTAAGTGTGATGTAATGTCAAAGGATACCGGTGGCTTGGTTGCTAGTGGTTACCGATTCAGGTGCTCTGCACAAGAGTCAGAGCATACGGCGAACAAAAACTGAGGGTTATAAACAGCATCACACAAAAAGGAGCTCTTGGCTGTAAGGAACATCCCCTGTGTGAGCACTGAGCTCGAGACAAGTGTCTGGCTGGGCCACATGGATCTCGAATGGAGCCCGTAAGGGAGAAAGAGGCAGTAATTGGGACTGAATTTGGTACCAAAGCTTGAAGAAATACAGAGCCAAGACAGCTGCCTGGGGATCAGTGCTGTGGGTGCTTGGCAAAAAAAATAACCGTTTGTGCCATTTGCTGCTAAGCCTGTTGGAAGAAAGAGGATTTGTATATATAAAGCAATGTGAGGAAGTGTTTGATGGTCATTGATTTCTTCTTGGAGTGAAAAAAATGGTCCTCTGTGCCTGTTATTGTGCTATTTCTTGGTAAAGAAAACATAAAAGGTAATGATTTACAGAAAACAATGAACTGCCACACACAAAGCACACCGGAAGTTTATCTTTTGGATAGCAAATTACATTTGTTAATCTCACTGTGGTTTGTTTTTGTTTTCTTGTTGTTGTTAATTTACCAAATAGAGTTTTGGTAGATCTTTCAGGTCATTATTAAATTTGGTAAAGTAATTTAAGCATGTGTGACATTCTTGTAAGTGAAAAAAACATGAAATACTAGTTGAAATATTTTTTAAAAAACAATACAGATTTTGCAGGTTTTTATGTATTTTAGGTTAAACAGATATCTAGCATAAAGAAATCTTACAAAATTTTATATGGGCAAAAAATCTTCTGCAATGCTGTCTGTGTGGAAGACACATTGTGCTAAAAATCTGATGTTTTGATCTCACACTCACTGATAAGTTTTATCTTTCTGTCTGCTTTTTGGGATTTACTATTGATCCAGGACATTTCCTTCAACAGAGAGCCAAGTATGATTTTCTTGTTTTATAAATAAATTATTTAAGAAGTTCCATAGAGTCTCTTCAGGCATAGCTAGACACAGAGAATAGGGCTTTAAAATAGCATGCACATTTTAATAAATAAATTAGAAATAGTTAATCCTACAAATAAAATATGTCATTGCAGCTTGATGAAAATAATTAAACTGAAACCCTTTTTAAAAAATCGGCTAGCAAAATTTAAAAAATATGCAATAAACTTCTGTTTTTCTACAATCCTGTAGACATAATAATGTAGCAGTTTGGGTATGAGACTGCAGGTGAAGCATTTTAACTGTGCTAGGAGACAAGCAGGATTTTGCCCTGGAAGGTGACTTTACAAAACCCACCTCCTGCATCTCCAAGTTAATTGTTGATTTCTAGATAAAATTCACTTGCTTCTAAAATTATATCTTCTCCTCTAAACTCAGCTTGGAATCTTAGGATTTTTTAGCTCACTGACCCCCCATTAGGAATTCTTTAAACCCAGTTTATGACAGAATTCAGCCCTCTCCTTTAGAGCCACGTTTTGATGCTACCCCCTGGAATAAAGCATTTTCTAATGTTAGCCAAGAAGGCAGGATTGCCCAGAGAGAGGCAGCGTGGAGCTCTGTGAGCTCTGCATTGACGTGGGTTGTCAGAGCCAAAAGAACTGGTATCTTTACGTTACTCTCCCCATCTCCTTGCTGGAAGGAGCAGTTGGATCGTGCTGGAGGATGCAGCTCGGTTCCTATCAGTCTCAGTCTGCCGGGCGAGCTTGGTAGCAATACTTGCATTGTCCTGGTGCTCCCTGTTTTATTAAACTGGGAGCCCAGGGTGACACGGAAATGGGTTGGTGCCAGGGACGACACACTGCTTCACTGCCCTTTTTTTTGCCCATATCTGTAAAATCCAGTATTAAAAATTTCGTCACTTGTTTAGCCACACTGGGGGCAGTCTTTGCAGCACAGGCATTCACGTTATCACCACTAAATCCCCCTAAATCCTTTTGGCAGTTCCGCGTTCATCTTTTACGTCTATTAGTCATTTTCATGTCTTTATTTTGTATTTATTCCTTCTCCAGATAGGGTTCCCCCCAAGGCGTGCCAGGGACAGGACATCTCACGGCG